CGTGTTTGTCTTACATCTGACCAGTAGTATATAAACCGGTAGTAGCTTAAGCATTATCACCTGATGATGATGTGTGACACGTCGAAACATGTCTTTATAGGCCTATATTAAAAAAATGTGTTGTCACCTTTGTCGATGTTGATTTAACTATTAAATTATTTTCAGAAGAAACTATATCTGAAGACAAGGGAGAATCTATCGGTCTGCTTCATGAAATGCGAGTATCGACCAATCAACTGAATGAAATGCGCAGGAAAGTCATCGACAAACTTGCCAACAAGAGTTCTGGGCCGAGTGATGTAACTTGCATATGGGACTATGCCGGCCAACTTGAATATTTCATAACTCACCGAGTAAGTGGCGATTCCAGGGGTGGAATCTAAAAAGATGTGTATAAGAGACAGGCCCTACCCCCTTTCGTCCGACGTCTCAACGATGTCGTTGGATTAAAAGCTCGTAACATTGATATGCATTTAACTTGTAAACTATTAGTGGCAAAAAAGGTGGGGGAGGGTGTAAGTAGCACTTCGCCCCCCCCCCCTCTTTTTTTATTCCTCAACCAGATTCGCGTTTGGATTTTATAAAACGATAAGACGTTGAATTTCTGAATCTTCCGTGTTTGCTTGTGGATTTTTATGGAGGCAGAGGCTTTAAAATCGAAGAAAAACATATGAAGGATTAACAAGCAGTTCAAAGATTTAAAGTGAACGATTATACGCGCGTTATGACTATGGATTCGTATAGCACAATCAGTACAAATCCTTATACAGTTACGCAATCACTAATTTGTGCATTACTGCGAAAATTTATCATCATTATGCACGCAGTACTGAAAGGATGTGATTGTATGATTTTGTGTTTATAGAAACAGTTTGGCGCAGCGGGAACGGGTGTCAATCCCTCGCTGTGCATTTCGCTTGTGTCCTTGAGCAAGACACTTTATTTGCATTGCTTCTCTCCACCCAGGAGTATAAATAGTTCCTGTGCTGATTACCAGCAGCAACACTTAGCATGTGGACCCAATGACCAGGGAAAGGAACTGCGCTTTATAACCGCAAGGACGTACCAGTACCAGTGTGTTGTATAACAATTGCACTGCATTGAATACAAAAATATTATTTTGCTGAAATTACTGCAGCAGTGGCGTGTAGGAGGTGTTAGTTACGCAATCATGAACAAGTTGTGCGTTGTTAAAAAACTTCTAAAGTCATCTTATTTTGCGAGTTAGCGCCCCCAACTGATTATCGAGTCCCCCCACCCCTTCCCGCTTCACTTTCGGGCTTCCAATCAGCTCCCCCACTTCAAGATTCCTAGATACGCCACTGTTTACCTCTCTTTGTTATAAATAC